ACGAGGTGAGGGGTATGCCCAGGTTTGTATGGAACTCCAGGAATGTGTCAAGGAGCGAAGACTTGTCTCCGCTGAAGTTGGCAGGATGCATCTCCGAGGGAGTGAGAGAATGGGTGAAACAAGAAGGCGATTTGTACGTTYTGGGACGGGTGATGAGGTGCTTCAAGCAGGGAGRGGAAGTTGTGATCGGAKGRATGACTGATAAAGAGGTGAGGCGAGCGATGTCTGATTACGCCAATCAAGTTGCCGTGCYAATCGATCGGAACCCGGGTGCAACCCTGTTGATCTGCCCCGTTGCATATCATCAGGCGTGTTCAGAMGTTTCGAGGGAATCCCAGTTTTCGGATGATGCACGATACCGAGGTAAGGATTCTCGTYAGGATGAAGAAGGATTATRAGCAATCAGGATTGGCGAGCATTGCGAGGTGGCAAGCAGGCGGCAAGATAGGGCGGGCATATATGATGCCCAAAGACAAGGACCTCCAGCGGTGGAGGCCCATCTCTCCAAATACAGGAGATCCGTCCCGACTTGCAGCCTCTCGTGTRGGAYGGGCCATYAGGTATATGCTGCWCGGGGTATCGAGGAATGAGCATTTGGACTTGGTTTCGATGGATGACGTGGGGATACGCAGTAAGAAGATTCAGAGAGAGTTGTGCCAGTTTGCAAACCTTATGATTGCCCGGAGTTACGACATAAAAAATATGTTCTCTAGATTATCACATGAGAGCGTGAGAGAAGCAGTGGATTGGATCGTGAATCATTTTCGGAGCAGAGGCATCTTAGGGGTCCGTGTCAACTTTATGGGGAAGMTGTGTACCATGATGAAGAAGGTGAGGAAGGAGGAAGGGTTTGCCACCCTGTCCTTTGACGTAATTCGGAGAGAAGTGGAGTTTGAGTTGAGCAACTCATTTGTAAGATGCACGGGGAGTATACTAAAGCAAGGAATGGGCATTCCCATGGGAAGAAACTCCAGTCCTGCTGTAGCATGCCTCGTCTGTGCTCGACCTGAATCAAGGTTCGTAAAGAATATGTACCAGGAAGGGGTGTTGATGAAGGAAATGAGGATGATTGATGACGTGGTAGTGTTGGCCGCTTTTTCCCGTACGCAGGTGGGATCGTTCCGGAGGGCGATCGGTGTGTTGGATTTGTTTGAGTCGTGCTATGACGAGAATCTTAAATTGATTCGRAAGGACGAAGGTGGCAATGCGTTTCACTTCYTTGGGAACCGGATGATCGTCGAGGTTGATCCCGTTTAGATTCACATTTTYCCTCGTACTCRGAATYAACAATCCTTGTCCGATGGTGGGGGTTTAAAGGTGCAGTCGATCCAGGACTTCGCCTCGTATACAAAGAAGAGTACCAAGAAAGTTGCGATTTTTGCCAATCTCGTAAGGATGAGTAGACTGTCCACGTCCGACGAAGCATTGAAAGC